GGGTCCCCCAACCCCTCAGTAACATATTCCAAGCGGAATGGAGTCGGTTGGTGCATGCGTGTCCGTGCACCACCATTTTGTTCACCGGAAGTTGCGAGAAATGAATCTTAAAAAACTCATTAAAAATATCCGAATTAGTGCACCGTCACAATTTTTGTTGGAGAGGGTCCTCCAACCCCCTAGGCACATATTCCAAGTAGAATGGAGTCGGTTGACGCATGTGTGTCCGTGCACCCCCACCACATTCACCGGAAGTTACACAAAATGAATCTTGAAAAATTTATTAAAAATCCCCTAATTGGTGCACCGTCACAATTTTTGTTAGAGAGGATCCCCCAACCCCTCAGTAACATATTCCAAGCGGAATGAAGTCGGTTGGTGCATGCGTGTCCGTGCACCCCCACCGCATTCACCGGAAGTTACACAAAATGAATCTTTAAAAATTAATTAAAAATCCCCTAATTAGCGCACCGCGATAATTTTTGTTGGGGAGGGTCCCCCAACCCCCTAGCTACATATTCCAAACGGAATGGGGTTGGTTGGTGCATGCGTGTCCGTGCATCACCATTTTGTTCACCGGAAGTTGGGAGAAATGAATCTTAAAAAATTAATTAAAAATACCCTAATAGGTGCACCGCGATAATTTTTTTTGGACAGGGTCCCCTAACCCCTTAGGGACATATTAAAAATAAAATGACATCGATTGGTGTATGCGTTTATTGCACCCCTATTGACCGCGTAAAAACTTATAAAAATAAAAAAAATATCATGAAATTCCTCCTCGAGAAATCATTCCCCACCCTCGTCATACATTAAGAAATAATAATAATAAAAAAAAATTGTTTGATTGTTTTTTATCATTTAATTTGTCTGGGAGGAGGTTTAAACTCGTGGCTACCGATGTAGCGTTGAGCGAGCGGCTACGGTGGGGACCGTACAGTCCTCCTTACAAACTATAACCATCTCCCGCTGAACTGCTCCCGCCAGCTTCAGCCTCATGTGGCATAAGACTAGGAACCCACTGTTTTTGCGGTTTTTCTACGGAAAATTCTAAATTCAGCTTTCTACTTTTCAAAGGAATTTTCGCATATCAAGATGGTGGAAATATTTGAAAAATACTCATTTCCAGCAATATACAAACTGCAAAAACAGAAAATTCCAACCATGTCCGCCAGCGAGATGTTATTGTTACGCATCCTAATTTTCTAGATAATATTTTCGCTATACATATATTTTTTTTAAAGTTGACAAAGTTGACAGAGTGATCACCTCTTAAGGGGAAACCTCGCTAAAATCGAAGTCTTTGAAAATTCCGTTAGCCATACTTCCTTTATTGCGCAATTTGCATTTGATGTAGATTTTTGTATTCCGCAATTTTCGTTAGACTCTAGAAAATGAAATTAAAGACCCATTTTACGTCATAAATTATGGATAGCCCATGAAAAAAATGTTTCTTTCGATGCCCTCTTTTTTGTTTGTTCTCGCATAATGTCTAAAAAATCGAGTCGAGCAGACAGACTAAATCTAAAAGATTCATTTTTTCTCGATCCATTCTATGCAATGGAAAACTAATACTCAATTTTATTCGTTGAAGTCTGACGAACATTGAAAACAACATCTGATTTGGGTGAAAATTATGTCGGAATGAAGTCGGATTTTACCGACTTACCTCACGAGTTGTGTAATGCATTTTATGTCATCAGTGCGTCTGTGGGGGTGGTGAGTGGGTACGTGGGCGGAGCCCCCGGTGGGGGG